AAAAACATCAACACAATTTGGATGAACAGTTTTAATATCATTAAATTAGATTAGTAATTTATAATTTAATAAACATTGAACTCAGCAAACATAACTCACAACAAAAGAATAATATCAGTATACGAACAATGGATAGTTGTAAATTCTATTTCAGCAGTTAAAAGATAATTAACACGTATACAATAACCAACCGGTACACCATTTGCATTGCAACCAACAAATATTGGTGTCAGCAAGAACATTAACAACATTACTTATTCAAATAGAAGGCTGATGAATAAAGAGATTAAAACAAAGAAGCTTTACTGGACAAAATCTTTGAATAAATTGTTGACCTCGGTAAATGAGGTAAACAAAAGGAAAAAATACTCTACGAACGACTTTCTGCTCAGGGAATCATCGTGGAAAATAAAATCGATACAAAACAGCAACAGCAGCAACAACAACAACAACAACAAACAATAAACAGCAAATAACAACAACAACAAACGAATAAATGAAAACGAAAGTTTTGGGCCGCGTTGACATTAAGAAAAACTCCTCAACTCAATAAAAAATTCTCCATCGACTGCAATCTAATTAACAAATAAATTGACTACAAAAGCGGCGACAGCAACGACAACGTTTTCATTTCTGTCAACAACTACAATTACACTTTCACAATAAAAACTTCAACAATTAGCACTTGTTACAACAACGACGTTAACAAAAACTATAGTTAAAGCATTAAATGCTGCAAAAACAACATTATAGACAACAACGAAATTGTTGCAACAACAACGATAGTTTAAACAACAACAAAACTGTTGCAACAACAGCAACGTCGACATTATATTCAGCAACTAAAACCGTTGCAGCAATAACAACACTATAGACAACAACAAAAATTGCAACAACAACACATAGAAAACAACAAAATTTGTTGCAGCTACAACAGCACCACAATAAACAACATCAACAAAAACTGCAACAGCAACACAATAAATAGATCACAACAACGATATCAACTCGGGTAGTATTTTTTTATTTCACGCATGTCACACAGCTTGAATGAAAACTGGTAAATATCATCTCTTCTTCATCTCAACAACATCTGGAAAGACTTATACAAAAAAAAAATAAATTAAATTCCAAGTCAACTCAACGTTTCATCCATATACATGAATGGATTTTGCTTATGTACTACTGTAGATACTATCACGTTATCAATTTGTTTTCTATCACCAATTTTACCACGGTAATCGGATACTCTGAAAAACAACAACGCTACAAAAATTTGAGTGTTGCAACTACTGATTAATATAAAATTAGTTAAATTAATACCCGACAAAGTGTTTCATATGCCTGAGTACTACACGGCCAAAATGATCAACGTTAACTTGTCAAATTTCTGCCTGTTGCTTTTTACACTACCATTCACCTCACTTCTTGAAAGTTAGTAAAGTGATGTGTTGTTCTTTCTACTGTTAATGTTATTTTAGCGTTGTTGTTGTTTCTAAAGTTAATGTTGTTGTGAGTGTTGTTGTTTTGATCGCAGTAATAGTGATGTAACATTGTCGGTAACACGTTTAATGCTATATTTTAACTAGTATTTAATAACAACAGTTTAATATTTTTTGATTATTCTTGAAATCCATTAAAAATATAAATTCACTATTTTAAATAAGTAACCAAAAAACTAGCAATTTATTTGGTATATAGCAATAGCAATGTTGAATAAAAATGAATTAGTTAGACTAATGGGTTAAATATATAAACATATGATATGGGATATATGAAATTTTGTTGTATACTGGATAATAAATAATAATCTTCATTTAGTTTATTTGTTTTTCAAGATGTGTCTATGTCAAAATTAATGATAAAATGTTAACTATTGGTTTCATATGCATCAACAAAAACATCTTGATTATCATCATTTTGTTATTAGAAGCACTGTTCTCAGCATCATCATTATCAGTACAATCAGCGTCATCACAATCATCATTCCATTCATCATCATCTTCATTTTATCACTAGATTCATCATCACGTGGTGATGGTGACTACAAACCGACATGCATAACAAAAGGCCGTTAAACTAATGCGCCGTGATACTTTTAACGTATGCAGTACAATTTTATTGCTTAGCTATATACACGAATGTACTGTATACATAATCTAATCTATTTTACACACATACACCTATATAAACAAACACACACACCGACACACATATATATAGTTTATATTTTTTGGTGTATACTTAGGCAAATTCAAGCAAGCCAAATGCTATTCAGAAAAATGATATGATGGTAATTATAACAATATTGGTGATAACGATATTGATGATAAATATGATGAGGTTAAAGATAATGTTGATAATAGTGATGATGGTGATGATGATTGAAGACGATACATATGATTATGATAATTGTGACGATTGCGATGATTTATGACTATAACGATGATGGTGATGATTGCTTTGTGATTTCGTTTTGTTATTATTATAATGGTTATTATTACAAACATTTTTATTATCATTAGTACATAGTAGTAGTAGTAGTAGCAGTAGAAGTAGTAGTAGTAGTAGTAGTAGTAGTCGTCGTCGTCGTGGTAATAGTAGCGGTAGCGGTTGTCGTAGTAGTTGTTAATATAAACTTTTTTTATTTTTTAGTGTTTGTTTAATATTTTTCTTTTATTGCGTTCTCTACTTTTTTCATCAAACGCGCATAACAAAAGAAAGAAATAAATTGGTATAAATAAACAGATGGTCACACTTACACATGCACACACACACACACACACACACACACACGCACACACACACACTTAGACACAAACACAACACACACCACATACACACGCAAGTTTAATTTCGTTCGATCATTTATTTATTAAAACTTTTTTGTTTATTTGGTTTAATTAACTAATCCATCATTTATTTATTTTATCATTTATTTATTTAATTAGTTAATTTAAGAAAGGGATTAATATATGCGTGTGTTAAAAATTAAAATATGAATGGTACGTAATGTAAACAAATTTATAGATATTATTCCTCTGCTAATGTATTTCCAATTCTTTTATTTACTTCCGGCTGAGTTGCTTTTAATTCTTTGGCGCTCTATTCATTCAATGGCTGGTCTATTCAATCAGCAATATCTATGTTTTTATGGGCGATAAAAGGGAGTTTATTATCTTGTTCATTATCTCGTCTGACAAATATAAGTTCTTTGTTTTTTTTTATTTCCGCTTTTTTCTGTAATGTTTCTTTGTGCAATTTGATTCTTTTTTAATTAATTATTAATATGTCCTTGTTTTGTTGTCAACAATGGTTTCACAATGAGTTTAATTTTCTTAATAACTTCATTCATTCTTGTCCTCCAGAATATGAAGTATCTAATGGAAGCAAATTTGAATTTTTATAAGCATCGTAACTTAACATGTCGTCCTATTGTTTTAATTTTTCTGCTAGTTGTTTTTTTGTATCGTTTTTGTATCGTTTTGGCCCGTTTCGTTTTGTTTTATCTCCATTTAGCGACGACTAAGTTTGGATTTTATCGACGGTGTAAATTCAGTTTAAAAGGAAACTTTTATTGTAGTTGGTTGTGTAAGAAGGAAGGGTTTGTAGCTTTTGTTCTTGTATGTTGGCTTCCATTGCATGATGTTTGTACCTTTTGTATGCGTGGTTTAATGTTTATATCTTTTGTATACGTGTGTTGATGTTTGTATTTTTGTATACGTGGGTTTATTCATGGTATTTGTACATATGTAAATGTTCCTGTGATTTTGATGAGGCTGAAACTCATCCAAACATTTGAAATGAGATAACGAACGACCTTGCGGTATATACAAACATCAAGATTGAAATAATGAAGTTACGCTTTATCCGAACTAGGAAAGTGAGACGATAATGTCCTTAATAAACTCAAACAAAAAGTATGAAAAGATGACGTTTTCACACATCTGAACGATGAGAATAATATGATCATGAAGTTAGGATATCAATGAGAATGAGATGATGATACTACGATATATCCGAACAATGAGAATGAGATGATGGGATGGGAGCCGAATTCCACTGTGACTCGTTCAATACAACGAAGATGAGTGAAGTCATTTACGAAACAATAACTCCATGCATGCTTCTCCTAGGTTTGTATTTTTTTGTATAAGCATTTTGGATTTGTTTTTTTGTATGTTTCTGTGTTTTTCTGTAAGTCTTTTTGATGTTTTTTTGTATGCTAGAGGTTTGTATTCATGTTTGATGGTTATGTGTTTTTCTTACGGATGTTTCATGTAGTTTGACATATAGGTTCGCTCGATGGCGAATGTGATTTTTTAATATTTGTATTTTCATCTGTTTTGTATATCATACCTGTGTTTGTTTACCGTTTATTTTTTGGCACAAGTATATTGACTCTATAAACTGTTTTTTTTTGCGAAATTTTTAATGATCATACTAAGGCGGGTTCTATTTCAATCTCATCTATTTTTCAATTTGTATTTTATAATGAATTATAGCGTACATTTGTTGATGTTTCATGTTATTGATGTTTGAATTCAAAAAAATAATTAAATCCCCCACAAAATTTTTAAACAATTTAAAAATTTAATTAGAGGCCAAAGATTGAGCATAAACCTCAAAGAAACATTACGATAAAAAAAGTTGAAAATACCTGCGATAAATACATTTTTAAGATTTTTTTTGCTTTACACAGACAGTCATGCATACGAAACGGAATATGAGACACACAACGACTCAAACAATATATAATTTAAAGTTCTTGTGCAGTCGAAAATATAAACAAAAAAGAAATAAAGATAAAAAAAATGAAAAGAGTAAATAAACAACCATTTTTATCCAAAGCAATGGAACAATTTTTCAATAGCATGCATGCATTTTATGTTGCTTCATGTTATTTTTCTATGTTCTTGTTGATTGTTATGTTTAGCATTCTTTGTTGTTTCTTCATTCTTTGGTTCTTTTTCTTTGGTATCGTGACAAATCAAAATTTTTCATAAAGCTCGCGACACCAGAGCAGCAAGGAAGTCGGACTTTTTAATCTGAATATGCCGTGAATTATTAACAGGGGTTATGTATGGGTCCTGTGTATTGTCGTTGTTCTCCTTCTTGCCAATGTTGTTGTTGATGTTGCCGCTGCTGTTGTCGTCGTTAGCGTTTTTGGTGTCGTCGCCGTTGTCGTTCTCGTTGTTGTTGCAAAAGACGATGACGATCGTGATGAAAATTACGTCATTCATGTTGGATGTGTTGTTGCTGGTCTTGTTGTAGTTGAGTTGTTGTTGCAATCCTTGTAAACTCTGTAATGAGGAAAATGTTGATCACGATCATTTTTACAATAATGGCTATCCGCTACATAAATGATATAGAAATATCATTGATATGCATGTATTATATATATATATATATATATATATATATATATATATATATATATATATATTATTGATGAAAATCACAGCATGTTTGGCGTTAGTTAACTTCCAATTTAACTTTTCGATTTTTCTAAAGCCGGTTTTTCGATTTTTGAAACATAAATTTAACGTTTTAACTGTATCAAAATTGATTAAAGTTCGCTATGACAAAAATGTCATCATAGAAACAGCTGAAAAATAGGGATGTGTATGAATTATAGAAAATCTTGAACTTCAGCAAGTTCTGATATGAAATAAATCTAAACAAGTGAATCATAATAGGATCAAGTGATCATAATATAAAACATTCTAATTAGTAATGTTTCGTACTATATGAGTTTTTTTTAATAGAAATCACAAAATTATAAGAAAAACAGTGAAAATAATTTAATAAAAATATTAGTTTAATATGCTTATCCTAATCCAAAGATAATTAAATATAAAGTGCCTTTAATTTACATTTCTCGAAAATATTGAAAAATTTCACGTCAACTCTTGCAAAAAATTCTCCGAGTCTTTCTAACGAACAACTTTCAACAAATTTGAAAATGTTTTAAAAAAATTTTTCGGTACTTAGCGTAACACGCTTTGGGCAAATTAGTGACAGACTCGCTCTAATTGCAATTTGCATAATGCATGCATTTTCTTCAACATGTTCATCAACAATTACACCACCTCGCATTGGTGGGTTTCAGGCTTCAAGAAGTTCTTCCGAACGCATGTACACCAAAGGCAGAATAAGGAGATACATTTATATACATACATTTATACATATATTGAAAGTTAACTTCCAATTTAACTTTTCGATGTTTCTAACGGTCTTGCGTTAAATTTATGTTTCATGTAATTGTTCAGCTCTGTTAATATACATCATTTGATCAACATATGTCAAAATGGAAAAAATTATTTCGGGGATATGTTAGTTAAGAAATTTCTTTCAAACATTGCCACTGCAAACAAATTGAACTCAACGATGTCAACCCTTCATCATCGTTATCGTCATCCGTGATTTTATCCTCGTCGTCTTCGTCATCATCATCAGCATCATCATCCTCTTTGTTATCGTCATCATCGTTTTGGTCGTCGTCGTCGTCATTCTCGTCGTCATCATCATCAGCAGCACAGCATCGTCATCATCATGGCCAGACGATAACGAATATGTGAGCGGTTGAAATCTGAAGCGTCATATTTTATAAAACATCAAGAGAATCCACCACGTGATGTTTCCATGTCTCTCTCTCTCTCTCTTTCTCTCTTCTCTCTCTGTTTTGTATTTCTCAAATGTTATTTCATTTACTTTTTTCTTATTTTGTATACGTTTGTTTTCGACGTACGTTTTTGTTTTTTCAAGTTTTTCACGTTCTTTGCGCGCAGTTTGTTTTTAGGTAGTTCTTTCTATTCTTTTTTTTGTATTGTTTTTGTTTTCTAGATTGTATTCTCTGCATGCTTGTATGTGAGATTATGTTTACTTTTACACGTGGCTCGTTTGTTTGTTTGATCTTTGTTAAAAAATTTGTTTTTTTTTCGAGAAAAGAACAATTTCCGTTTCACAAAATTTAAAATTCATTTTTATTTTTTATTAGAAAGAAATAATTGTTTTAATATTTTTGCTTATTTTTACAGCCTCAAGTTTGTGTCAGTTTTGTCTGATCATTTATTAAACACGACAAACAAACGTGATTTTTTCAATACAAACATCTCGTATTGTGGGCGCACATGTTTGTGTGTGTGTGTGCGTGTGTATGCGTGTGCGTGTGTGCGTGCTTGAGGTAACTCCTTATTGTTTCCACACATAATTTGTTTGTTTTCATCTTATTTACATCGCAAGTACATTTGTAACTCCAAACTCTTCTTATTCATTTTTAATTTGGCTGATTTTATTTTATTTTCATTTATTTTTGGTCGGAGTCAAATTTTTTCTTTCAATGACAAGATTAAAATCATCATTGGGTCGTCATCACCATATCACCTCCACTGTTATTATTATCATTATCATCGTTAATACACTATTTATTCTCTATTTTTATGCGTAAAATAAGCTTATAAAGCTCATCATCATTTTAAGTTTCCACTATCATCATCATCATTATCATCATCGTCGTTGTCATCATCATCAATATCATCATCATTAAATCATTACTATCAACTTTATCATTATGATTTGCCTTACGGATATCATCACCCCTATCATTAGAACCATCACCACGCATTTCATCGTTATACATTTCATCAATACTAGCGTTATCATCATCATCATCCAAATTATCCACATCATCATCACCATTCTTAACATCATCACCATCATTATCATCATCATCATCATCATACTCCTCTTCGTCGTCATCATTATCATAGTTGCATCATTATCATCACCGATGGCATCATTACCAGCGTGGCGTGATCATCACAATCATGACGTCACATCGAATAGCCTATCATATCCACGGCAACGCTAACACGTGATTCATACATTTTAAATCCACTTCCGGCAAAGAGGCGCTTATGACGTCATGCTTGCTGATTGCTTCGCATTGTATTGTATATTATGTTTGTATATACAGAGATACACACGGGTATGTATGTATATACATGTATATACATATATATATATACATATATATATATATATATATATACAGACATGTATGTATGTATATACATTAATATGCATGCATACCTATATGTATGTATATACGTATATGTAATTCTAGCTTTGATGCTCTTGATATTTGGCATCATGGAGAGTATACATGAATATATATGACAAGTCTTATCATTCAAGAAGTAAACCGCTAATTTTTACACAGAAAATATTCAATAACATCATCATGATTAAAGGGAAACTTAAATTTAAACATTCTTGCACTTGAGAATTAAGAGGTATCAGCTTATTAAACCATATAAACCCTTTCATTTATGTAATAAAATTTGATCTTATACACATACATACATATACATACATATACAAACACACATACACGCACATACATACATACAGCACCCGATTTAATTTCACATAATTTCAGTCATATTAATTTACAAAGAACTTAGGCATCATTATAAACAAGAGCAGACTTTTGTAAGAATTTTAAACTTGTATACGAATAGTCACGCTCACACACACGCTCACATATACACACACACGTACATTGTAGAAAAAATTTCATACACACCTAAAGTAATACAAACTTAAACACACACCTACACTTAAATTCAAATATAAACACTTTAAACACGCGCGCACACATATACACACACTTACATACAAAATTACATTTATTTACGCGCGTACACACGCACGCACACACACACACACACACTTACGTACTTACGTACACAAATACAAACGCACGCACACACACACGCACGCACATAATGCTATAAAGACTTGATGTCGCATGATTAATTGCACTGTTGACGTCTGCGGTGATTTCAGCTAGCTAACATTTAATTGTTATTGATGGCTAACTTGTTCGTCTTATTTCCAATTCCGGCGGGGTTTTGTTGTGGTTTTTGCTTAACATTATTAATAATGTTTCGATTTATAAACCTTGTATTGGCTTTTTATTATTTTTACTTGGTTTATGCCACTGCTTTTGTTTCGTTGTTTATGGTTTTTATTTCTTTTTTTATGATTTGGATTTATTTTTGGTGTTGTTGCTTTATTTTTTATTTTATATCATTTTACGCCTATTAATTTAATTTAAATTATTTTTTTTAGTTTGGATGTGCAAAGGATTTAATTCTCCAAAATACTTTCAATGATTTCGATTCTGATTATTATTTTCACGGTTTTTCGTCTTATTATTTACGTTAACAGAAATGATTTTGTCATTCATTTGATCATTTTTGTAACTATAATTTCTATCATTATAGAAATCATCATTATCCTCATCGTCATCAACATCATAGCCGTCGTCGTCATCACATTCATCATCACCATCATTATCTTCACAGTCACTTCCATTTTCATCATCTTCATCAGATTCCCCTCAACCAATATCATCATCATCATCTACACCACCATCATTACTACTATCATCATCACCAGCACCATCATTACCACCATCACCATTCGTACCAACTCCCATTGGAGGAGGGGGTTCACGGGGTCACGGGGTCAGTCCCTGATAAATACGACCCTTCAAGTGGAAAGTTTCCGCGTTCAACTTCTGATGTTTCACATTTTAGCGCCTTGGGCGTTTTTCGTCTGAAATTTTCTTTTTATGATTCTTGTTGGCCGCTTTCTTTCGTTTGATCTGTTGTTGTTATTGTTATTGTTACTTTATTTTATTAAACGTTGAATGGTTTTATTTTTCTTATTGCTCTGCTTAATCTAATGTCGTTTCTGTCTCGTTTCAAGTGCTGTTTATTTTTGTTACTTTGCTATTTATTTATTTCTTTGATTTCCAGAAAGTTCGGTGGTAAGTTGCCGCGTGCTTCCAATGAAATCTGAAGTCGAATCGTCCGGTGAGACGAGTCTGTAAGGAGAGAGTGTGTGAAAGAAGAGAGAGTAAGTGAGAGATGTGTGAAGTTGGTGTGGAAAGTATTGGAATTTAAGAAGGAAAGTCTAGGAAAGAATATTTAAAAGGAGTGTGAAAATTTTTGTCTGCGGAGGAAAAAACAAAGTTATCGAAGCTAAATCTGAAAATGAAAGTTGAGTCAGAAAAGTTTTTTGCAGAAACCAAAAATTTTTGTAAAATTGAACTGACAACTAAAGGAAAGTGAGATATTGGAGAAATATATGAAAAATGAAAACTCAAAACCAAAAAACGACAAACATTTTGAAGAAACATAAAAACAGATTGTATCAGACTCACACGTACACTCACGCGTACGCAAATGCGCACACATACGCACGTGCACACATACGTAGGTGTATTTGTATTTCCGAATCTATCGCAAACAAACTCGTGCCCACAAACATCCACAAATACAAGCGACCGTACTCACACGCAAATGTAGATGTTCATTAGCGCACACATAAATATATAACAGCAATATACCATCAAACTCGTGCGTCAACAGACACGTTAAAAACAACTTGTAGATAGAAGAGAAAACAATCATTTACAGCTAACAGGCGAGTACTTAGTTACGGAAATTCGGCGTGCAGATTCATCTACGCAAATCTTTCAATGGCCTTAAAGTGACTGAAATAATAGTTATTTGATTGCGCGATGTGATTGATGGCAGATAGCCGCTGCGTGTTTGTTCAGATTCACTGACTGCATAAACACTCACCACATTTCTATTTTCATGCAAACTTAAGAATTCACACTTGTATTTAAACACATATAAACAATTACACGCACGCAATTATATTTGTTTGTATATATACAAACATGTACGAACGTGTATGTGTATATACCAAATATGCGTCATTATATACACAGACATGCACACATATATACACACACAGATGTCCGCGCAAACACACAAACACATTCATACATACACACATTATAAACACATTTACTTAATTACACATTCATGATTTAGAGATATGAATGAACGTAGTAATGTTATTTAAATGCTCTTTCTAAGCTAAGCTATTTTAAAGTTTGCTGGTGTAAACAGTTAAGAATTTAGTTTTAATTTTCACGACCTTAAGTTAACTTGTTGACAAAAAAAAGAACAGTGAAGATGACGATGATGATGTGAAGAAAGACGACGACTATAATGTTATCGTTACCTTGTGACGTGTGTGTTCTAGATGTTCCATATTAGTTACTCAGCCATTGTCATTGGCGTTCTCTTGGCGTAAGCAATCACAGTTGAAATGTCATTCGTTTGTATGTTTTTGTTATTGAGTTGTTGTTGTTGCGGTAGGACTTTTAATAATTGTTTTTCAAGCGTGTTTATGTAAGTTTTTATATATGATTTGTGCGTGTGGGCTTTTTTAAACACGCATTATTATGTTTTGGAATGTTGAAGGTTTTATGTACGTAATTGTGTGTGCGTACAGACATTTGTATGCGTATTTATGTACAATTTTTATTCTATTGTTTGTTATTGAGATAAAATAAATAAAAAGATGTATAGTTTTGCTTTCGCAGATAAATCGATGACTCTATGATTTTGTTTATAAGTGAGTGCGAGCGTATTTGTATCTTTTACTGAAAATGTGTGTGTGTGGAGATAAATACTTATGTCTACTGTGTATTCCATATATTGGATATGTATGTGTATGTATGTGTATGCAAGTGTTTGAAGTGCAACCATCACACGGATGCGTGCAATCTAATAGATGTTAAGTGGTTTTCTTGCAAGTGAGAAAGCAAATGCTGAATGATCTTTTAATAGGCTCTGTACATGAGCACGTGCGTTGTGCGTCTATGTGTATATGTGTGTTTGTGTGATTTTGTCTTTGTATATTTGCTTTCACGATTCGAAGATTTTGTTAAGTTTGCTCATAATGATGTTTTGTTGATAAATTTGTTCGGGTGTGTGCGTGTGTGAATGCGTGCGTGTGCGTGTTTGTGGGTGCATTTATTTGTTGCATGATAAGCAAGCAGTGAAGAAATTTTTTTAGATTGAATAAGACATATTGAAAGTGAAATGTTTGATAAAATGAAAGACCATTTTTTATTTTAATATAAACTTCATTATTCATATTTTTATCATCGTGATGAATGATAAAAATTATTATTATTGTTATTATTTTAATGAATATACGATCATATAATAAAAATAATAATTTCTATGATGGATAACATATGGTTTGGTCAGCGTCACTTAACACTTACTTATGCCTTCTTTGAGCTGTTATCATATTTTCAACCTTTGATGTAGCCACATGTGCACATGAATACCCATACGTACACGCTTCCGTATTGATGTGTTTGTACGCTTATGTATGCATGTATGTGCATATTGTGTATGCTTTTGTACGCTCGATTGCTTGTATGTCTGTCTATCATTAAGATTGTATGTTTATTTGTATGTGCGTTATGTGCCTATGATAAATGTTTTCCATGTGCCTATGCATATGTCCCGACATGCTTCTAACTTGTATCAGATGCATTTATGAGTATGCATATGATTAATATGTATTTAGACATTTTTGAAAGTTTGTCTGCGTATGTATGTGTTTGTATGTTTGTGTATGACGTGTGCGTTATGTTTATGTGTTTACATTAGCGCAAAAGTATGCGTGTTTGAGTGGTATACTTGTTTTTACAGTTGTTTGCTCTTCAAGAACACATTTCAATCTTTCTTATAG